CCAGCATTCTCCCCACTCTTCAGATGGGGAAATTGATGGCCCCAAGAGGGGAGGACTTGTTCAAGATCCCACAACCAGGCATGGCAGAGCCAAGTCACCACCCTTTCTCAGCCCTCATGCCCACAGCAGAGGCAGTGTGAAAGGAGGATTGCAGTCAGACAGACCTGGGCTGGAATCCTGGTCCCCTCACCTCCGCTGTGTGTCGGTGGGTAGGTCACCCTCAGTTTATGTAAGCGCCTGGGACGTGACGAGTGCTGAGCACACAAAGCCACTGCTTTGTTTCTGGTAGATTTTATGCTCCACGAGAGCAGAGGTGTGTCTATCTTACCTTGGCATTCCCAGAGTCCCCATGATCCTGGATCAACGCTTTCATTTTTCTGCCCCCCTCGGTGCCCTTCCTGGGCTCGAACCACCCACCCAGGCCTTAAGGTTGTGGCTCCTGCCCACCTTTTCTCCCACCTCCCTCTCTCTCCCCTCCCCCCCAGCCCTCTGGTTCCCACCCCCGTCCCTCTCAGCCCCCCTCTCCTCTGCCCCTGCCTCTCCCCATCCCTCTCTCCTGCTGAGCCCCCTCTTGGCACTACACACTGTGTTTACAAGACAACGATGACAGTTTTTTATTTCTCCCTTTTGTCTTCCTTCTTTCCCTGAAGGGAAACGTGCTTCCAATCTCCCAGGAAGAAATGAAGGCTCCAGAAGAGAAAAAGCAGACAAAGGACAATGGAACTGTGGATGCCCGCCACGCCACCCATGGCCGCCACACAAACAAGCGCCCGTGAGCGCGTGCACGCACAGTCCTCTCTGGTCGGGGCCTCCAAGAACAGCTGTTATTTTGGGGGCAATTGAAAAAGTCCATCTTTATTCCAGAGGATAAGCAGGGACAAGGGATATAGGGAACAAGAGGAAGAGAGAGAGGGGGAAAGAGAAAGGAGAAGCCAGACGGGAACAGGAGCGGCGAAGGGAGCGGGAGATGTGGCTTCTGACCCCCACCAGGACTCCAGGACGTGCCTCCACCAGCTCCCAGCCCACCCTGGCCAGGGGTGAGAAACAGAGGAGCTCTTGCCCCAGTCCTCCCACCCGTGGGCAGCTCCTGGGGTGGGCATCTCTGAGTGCTGGGGGAGGGCAGAAGGGATCTGGTTTGTCTTCATGGGCAAGGGCTCAGAAAATCCAGACACTCCTCTTACAACCAAGTGCACCCTGCCCAGAGGGAAGACCCCAGACCAGAGGGCTGAGGGCAGCCAGCAGCTCCTGACCTGGGGCTGGGAATCACATCCCAGATTCTTTATGAGCACAGAGACCCTCTCAACGTCCCCTCCCAAATGCCCATCCCACCTCTCTCTGTGTATGTGTGTGCATGTGTGTCTTGGCTCCGTGTATACGTAGGTAATGGGCATACGTTTGTGCACAAGCCCTGTGTGCCTGTGTATAGTGAGTCCATGTGTCCCTATAGGCAGGGTCCCTCTTTTGCTCTTGACCCAGGACCACCAGCTTCTGGGAACCATAGTGATGACCGGCCTTCAGGGCCACTCCAGCAACAGAGATCAGCCCATCCAGCCAGTGTCCAGAAGAGTTGGGTGACTGCAGTTTTACCACCAAGCCCTGGCTGGGGTGACCAGACATGGAGGCCAGGTCTCTCCCTGCCCCCTAGAGAGAAGGGAGGACTCTCCAGTGGACCCCTGCAAGGCAGAGCCTCATCCACCCTCCAGTGTCTGCTCGTAGTTGGAGAGAGCTACTTCTCTTCCTCCCACCGAGCCACCCTCTGGACTCCCAGGGGCCAGGGCTCCCTCCAGGTGAAGACCATTTCTCTGTACCTCTGGGCCTAGCCAGAGCCTGGCATAGGGCAGGAGTCAGCAAATGTTTGTTGAATGAATGAATGAATGAATGGTTGTGTCTGTGTGATCAGGTGCCAAGCTCCAGGCCTAGTTAACTGCAGGAACAGGTTGAGTTCCTACAAGGATCAAACCAGGGCTTCCTGTAAGGTCAAGCTTGGACCCCCTTAGTTGTTCAGAAGGGGCCTAGTCAGCACTCAGCCAGGCCTGGGAGGCCATGCCCGTCTGACCTTCCGCAGGTCACCTATGCCGGGCACCAGCACAGGGGAGGAAAGGCCAAGAGATGGGGCCTGCTTCGTCAAAAGGTAAATCCCAAGCTAAAGGACCTGTGATTTTGCTGGCCAAGGCACAAGGGAGGCCCCATTCATCCTCCCTGGAGGCCACATCCCCTTCTTGGTGGGTCCATCTCTCATCCAAACATACTCATCCCCTAAAGATTCATTCTGAACCTTCCGTGCTCCTCCTTCCCTTCCCTTGGGACCACAATCCTACCCCAAGAGTTAGTTCTAGCTCTAGGGCTCCCTTCCAATCTTACCCTTATCTGGTGGCAGCAGGATCCAGACTGAAGGTGTGTCCCAGACTGGGCCATGGAGGCAAAAATTAGCATTTAGTCCTAATATGAATAAAGGATCCCAGACTGAGCCCTGATTCTAGTCACAAACTGAGCCTGGACGTTTATTTAGAGACAGGCCATTAATTTGTCATATGGCCAAAGTTATTTCTAGACTTTGGGCCTCAGTTTCCTCATCTCCCCAATGGAAGGCCTTGGCCTGGGCTAGGCACTAAATCAGAAAACCCCTGTTCTGAGGTTGGCCTGCAGTTTTCCTGGCCTGGTGACACAGGGGAGCATTGGCTACTGCCACCTACCAGCCCCCACCCCTGCTCAACACTCACAGCCCAAGCATCACTAATTTTTGCAGCTTCCATGATAAATGGCATTGTCGGCACAATGACATCTTTCTAATCTGCTGCAGGACAGATGGGTCCCCGAGCTCACTTACCCTCTCAAGAGCCTGCCCAGGCCAGCCTTGTTGAGAGGGAGGGAGGGCAGGGCAGACACAACACCCAGGCCCTGGGGCGTGGGCTGGAATGGGGGAGGGCCGTTCAGGGCCCAAAGTCAGGGATGATCCCAGTGGGGTTTTCTGCAAGCCTCTTTTCTAAAATACTTGTATTTAGGTGTTTGTTTGTTTTTAATATTCCAAATATATTCTCTGTTCTTTTCTGTCCAAAGTTAGGTCTTCAATTTTCATTTTCAGTTAAAACCTGAAATTGCTTAAGTTCGCCAGGATGAGCCACTACACTCTGGCCTTTCCCTCCTGTCTGCCTCTGCTCTTGGGGCAGTGGCTGCAGAAGGACGTGCCTCTGCCGGAGCCATTGGGTCTGGGGGCTCTTCTCCCCTCCTCTCCTCTTTCCTAAGCCCCTCTCCGTCCATGGTTTCCCCAGCTCCCCAGCCTTCCTCAGCTGCAGCCCCTCCTGCATCACATGGCCTCAGGCTGCCAGATCTGGGTAGGACCCACTCACACCTTCCTGTGGCTGGGGAACTGGGAGGGGGCCCCGGACCACGGGTGGAGGTGAATTGGGGATCTGGATGCCAAGAATTAAGGACAAATACCAGCCCCAGGGGCCCCAGCCTCCCCAGAGACCAACAAGAGAGATGGCGCCTGTTTGGCCAAAAGCGGTGAAGTGGGAGGGGGTGGGTGTGGATGGCACAAGCCTGGACTTGAAGATCGAGGCAATGCTGCCCCCTCCTGGCTAGTTCATGGCTCCTCCACCGGGCACTGCCAGGCTGAGCTGTCGAGGCTGGGGATACAGCAAGTGACTCTCCAAAGACAGCATGGGACAGGCAGACCTCCTCCCAGCAGCCTACTAGGCTGATCACAGCCTCCAGGCTCTGCCCACCCTGTCCAGCCTTCCCTCACTACCCAAAGAATCTTCTGAAAACACGGCATCCTATCTGGCCCCAACACTCAGCACAAAACCCGAGGCCCCTCCAAGCTGCCTGCTATCTGGTCCCGGGTGTCAACCTGGCCTCCTGCACCCCAGATTCCTGCCACACTGTGCCTCCCCCAGGTCCCCGTCCCTGCACCCTTTGGCCCCACATTTACCTCCACCTTTACCCTTCCCCGACACAGTCACCACTTGCTTCCTGGATCCCTCCTCCAGGAAAACTCCCCTGATGGAGTTTGGATGTGTTGTCCCCTCCAAAACTCATGTGGAAATTTGATCCCCAGTGTGGCAGTGTTGGAAACTGATTGAGTCTCGGGGGCAGATCCTTTATGAGTGGATTGATGCTCTCCCTGGGGGCAGGGGGCCCTGAGTGAGTTCTCGCTCTATTAGTTCCTGCAAGAGCTGGTTGTTTAAAAAGACCCTGGCACCTCCTCTCTCTCTCTCGCCTCTCTCTCTTGCTTCCTGTCGCCATGTGATCTACTTGTACCCGCTGGCTGCCTGCCACTTTCCGCCATGAGTAGAAGCAGCCTGAGGCCCATGCAAGATGTGGCTGTCCCAGAATCGTAAGCCAGATAAACCTCTTTCCTTTATAAATTACTCAGTCTCAGGTATTTCTGTTACAGCAACACAAATGAACTAATACATCCCCTTTCCTGCCATCCCCAACCAGAATGACCTCTCCCCCTCTGCTGGCCTCTCCCCAACCCCCCCAACTTGCCCAGCTCCTCTCTTGGGTACGGCCACTGCCAGAGATGAGAGTCACACAGTTCTGGAAATGGAGGGAACTTGGACCTCTTCCAGGCCTACCCCCTCACTGTCCGAAGCTCAACCCTGAGGCCCAGAGAGGGGTAGGAGCTGCATAAGGCCACACAGCATGTTAGTGGCAGAGTTAGGACTGGAACTCAGCATTCCCGAGTCCTTGCCCCGGGCTCCTTGGAGGACACATGGCTGCCTCCCCCTGGTGACCCCAAATGAAACTCCTCAAGGACAGAGACCTGTAGGATTCCTCCCAGTCTCCCCAGCCCCTCGCCCAGAGCAGGCCCTGCAGGAAACAGCCGTGAATGTTTGCAAAATGAAGGAATGACACAAGAAAATATTTATCGAATGCCTTCTGTGTGCTGGACACTCAGCAGGCACCAGCTCTGCTACTTGAAGCTTTGGTCAAGTTGCTCAATTTGGTATAAAAAATAGCCTCTGGGGGGTGGAGGGAGTGCACCAGGAGGGGCCTCAGTCGCGAATGTCAACGACCAGCGGGCACAGGTGGGGGGAGTGCTTGACCCCCATGGTGAAGGCGGGTGTGCGGGGCTTGTGCACAGTGACCTGCTGCACGTCGTGCGAGCCAGGGCCAGGCCGGAGCGTGCAGTCCAGGGGGTAGGTGAAGCGCCTGGCCATGCTGTAGATGGGGCTGCGGTTCTGGTAGACGGACGGCTCGGGCCGGGCGTGCGTGGCAGGGCCAGGGCCTCCTGCCACATCCTCCTTGTAGAACCAGTTCTTGTCCGCACGGGCCAGACTATAGCAGGGGGCAGCCCAGTTGACAGGGTTGCTGGGCCCAAGCATGAGCGGCAGCTGATAGTGGTTGGGGGCCGGATTGGGGTCCATCACTCTGTATGGGCACCGGTAGCCGAAAGCATACTGGGGAGCCCTGCGTTCCCCAGGTGGGGGGATCTTCTCAAAGTGGTAGTGGCAGGAGGCTGGTGTGGGGCTCAGGCCTGAAAGTGAGCAAAGAGGGAGGAAGGAGAGGAGGGGTCTCAGGGCAGGAACTGGGCCACAATCCCTGGTATCCAACTGCTGGGTTCAGGAAGGGAGCTGAAGTCTCGGGTAGCCTGATGTGACTTCAGTATAACCACCTCAGCAGGAGGGTAGGGACATCACAACTCCTGCAGGTGGCAATGGGCAGGGAATAGGACAGCAAGATGGTCACTGAGACCATCCTGACATCAGGATTGTGACACTATTGTCAAAATATAAAAACCGTAAGTGTCATAACATCCTCCTTGGGCTGTCGGCATCCTGACATCCCTGTGACAGCCCCATGAAAACATTCTGAGATCACTGTGTCTGTGAGCTCATCAGCAGGAAAATATCACCCTGTGACATCATAACATCACACTATGAAAGGCAAAGCATAACATTGGCTTCAAGACAGAAAGGCTGTGACACAGACACAATGATGTCAGCATTGTGACATGGGTGTCTTGATGTGATACTGCAGGGAGATGCAAGCACTCACGGATACATCTGGGGAAGGGAACCATGACCTTTTGCCCCTGCTCAGGTCCTAAGAGTGGACCCCCTCCCCCCACCTCCCATCTCCCCACCTCCCTCTGAGCCTCATCTTACGCAGGTTGGAGATGCACTCCCCCATGGGGACCTGCGGGCAGCTGGACATTCCAAACCGAGTTATTTTGGGATCCAAGAAATAGGAAGGCCCAGGGCTGCATATATCCGTGATTCCTGCAGGACAGCCAAGGAGAGAGCCCTGTCAGCCACAGAGGCTGCCCCAATGGGAGCCTGGCCTGCCTCCAGCAGGACCCGCCTCCCCCAGGAGGATCTAGGGCTCGGTCCAGATTCCTTTGGCTCTCAGATGTTTGGAGACCCTTGATTTCCTCACCTGTAAAATGGGACTTTTAATACATGACATGCCATCCTCAAGAACTTGTTCAGAGGAACAGATAAAATAACAACTGCACAGCAGTCTGTCAGCCACCCACCCCATCATGGATTGGTGCCAAGGGGGAGTAATAGCCACTGTGGCTATTATCCGCATTAAGAAAGGGCCCTGCCCAAGCCAGGAGCGTCCCCTTCTGAGGAGGGTGTGTCTCCCCAGGAAGAGTCCTGGCAGGCACCCTAGGTTTCAGACTCCCACATACACACCACCGTGCCTCTCCTCTTGCAGACTTTGGCCAGGAGCCCCAGGTCTTCTGTGGCGCTCTGCTCCCACCCTTCTCAAGGGTTCAAGGCCACCTGGGAAGCTTTAGAGGCCACCACTCCCACCACTTCCCTGCCAGCTGCTCCTGCCCAGCCACTGTTGCAAGTGAACCCAGCAGAACATGGTGGCCAGAGCTGAAGGGTCTCAGCCAAAAGCCAAACAGAAAGGAGACCCTGCTCTGCTGGCTGGATGTTGCCAACATAGCTTCAAAGCTCCCTTGCGAGATCTGGCTGGGAGATGCCCACAGAGTCACCTTCAGAGGGTTTGGGTCACCAGAGCATCCCTGCTGGCTTCGTTCTGGACCCTGGGGGCTGCTTGAATGTCCCACTCAGAGCAGGCCTCAGTTCCCAGTGGCCTGTGGCTACAGAGAATGGCTCCATGCCTCTCACTGCCCCCACCACCTCCGACATTAACCCCAGCCCCCAAGGACAGGACAAGAGTGGCGACTGCTCACGCTTCTCCGAGTGCCGGGCATGCAGGGTGTAAGCTGGCTCCTGGAACATGGAGATGTCATGATCTATGTAGCCCGTGCAGGATGGCCGCAGGTACTTGGCAGGTCCTGGACCTGCGAGGGTGGACAGGGCAGCCTTCAGCCTGCACCCTCTGGATCAGAGGCAGAGGGAGCCATAACACAGGGCCCCGTGAGAACGTTGAGGGTCTTCCTCTCACTGATCCTGGACCTGCGAGGGTGGACAGGGCAGCCTTCAGCCTGCACCCTCTGGATCAGAGGCAGAAGGAGCCATAACACAGGGCCCCGTGAGAACGTTGAGGGTCTTCCTCTCACTGGTATCACACTGCCACAAGTTTCATCATCCACTGAGCTGCTTCCTTTGGAGGAAGGCAGCATTTCTAGATAAAATGCAATTTCCCTTGGACAGACAACGCATAATAAGCAAGGCAGTAGCTACAATTAATTGAGAACTTACTCTGTGCAGAATACTATGCTAAATGTTCCCCATGGGTTATTTCAGTTAAGTCTCCCAACAACGCTTGTAAGGTAGATACTCCTGCTTTTCCCATCTTACAGGTGAGAACATTGAGGCATACAAATATCAACCCACCCAAAGTCACACAGGGTGATAATGTGAAAGTTCTGAGACAATCATCCGGCAGAACCCAAGCACAAACCACCTCCCACTTAGAGCAATAATCAGCCACTAACAACATAGTAAGAATTAATCTGGCCACCTTCCATTTAAAGTAAGATTGAAGGGGCCGGCCTGGTGGCGCACTGGAGAGTGCGCCGCTTGGGAGCGCGGTGGCACTCCCGCTGAGGGTTCGGATCCCATGTGGAGACCGGTTCCCGCTCACTGGCTGAGCGCGGAGCGGGCGCAGCACCGAGGGTTGCGGTCCCGTTACCGGTCAGTAAAAAAGACAAAAAGGAAAAAAATAAAAACTAAAAAAAAAAAATAAAGTAAGATTGAAGAGAAATGAAGAAAGCTAAATCTAGGCTAAAGGCTTCTAGTTTTTTTCCAAAACTGCACGTCCCATGCTCCCGTACTCCCCACCCCCTTGAACAATCCCAACAGCTCATACTGCTGCTGAGGTTCAGCCTGGAGGTGTAGGTCTTCTTTAAGGCTTTGAGGAGAGTCTGAAGGCTTTGCAGGAGGCAGGGCTGGAAGGCTGGGCCACCCTCTCACCTCTGATCATCGCCATGATCGTAGGGGTCTGCTTAACCTCCTGCCATGAGGGCAACTGTACCTTCTTCTCTGGGTGCTGCGCATAGAACACAGAGTTCTTGGCCCCCTTGGGCAGTTTCATGGCTGGGGCCAGGGAAGGGGACGCGACAGCTGCAGCAGAATCTAAGCAGCAGTCAAGGAGCTGGGGTCCCCCTGCCAAAGGCCCCTCTATCCACTCTCTCTATGCCACCCCAAAGACTGTGTGGGGGCTGGGAAGGAAGACAGTCCTCTTGCTTGAACAGCAGAGGCCGTCTGGGGCCCAGCAGGCTGGAGCTGGGGATGACATCACAGCGGAACTTGGACTATGAAACCCAGAGTGTTTATTTACCCCAGTTGCTGTGGCGCCCAAACTGCGGTGTAGAAATTCTGTGCTGCAAGCTCAGCTATAGAACCCTGAGAACTCGGGCCCACTACCCCCAACCTCCTACCAGGCTAAATGGCCTGGGGGTCCCCAGGCCCTCGGTCAGGGAAGGGAAAGGGGGAGGTGATGTGACACCCAAACCAGCTCTTCACTTATGGTGGGTGTCCTGAGGTCGGGGAAAGGAATGGAAAGGTTGGGTGGGTCATGGGTTAAGCCTTCCTGCGGTGTATGTAGCCCCCTGGGGAGTCCTCGACTCCCACCCCTACCACCTATCTCCCCAGGCTCTGAATATGTCTTCCCTTCTATCAAAGTTTGTTTTTCCCGTGGCAAAAGATCAAGGCAGCTATTTCACACTAAGGTGCTGCTGTCTGATAGCCCCTTCCCAGACTCCTATCCCAGGGCATGGTATCTCTAGAGATCCGTGTCCTGCTCAAGGCGTTCTTATCTACCTGCTGGTGGTATGTTAGACACAGAATGGGAGACAAAGAAATGAGGATGGGGGGATAGCACTGAGGCCACGAGGGGCCACTTCTGTGCCTATGGCCAAGAGCACCTCCTCGGCAGGGGGAGTATGAGAGGAAACATTGAGGGGCAGGAAAGACATCAGCCCCCATACGATTGAAGAATGAGCCCTGGGGCAGAGGAAGTGCTGGAGATACTTCACCCCTAAGAACCCAAGAGGTTTGGGGTCTCTGGGGCCCGTTCACACCCACCGGTTCATAACTCAGACTGGGGATTTGACCTGAAGAAGCTAAGACATTTCCATCTTGGGAACCAGATGACTGATGGGTTTAGAGAGGGTGTCTGTTACTGCCCTGGTATATATGAAAACTGAGGCCCAGAAAGGATCAAGGACTTGCCCAAAGTCTCCTGGTACATCAGTAGCAGAGATGGAACCAGGACACAAAATCCAGGGCTGTCTTTGCATCATAGTCTCTGATCTAACGGAAACCAAACCGTGCTCTGAATTCATTCCAACCAGCAGAAGCGATGAAGACTCAAAGCAGCAGATGGACCAGGCGCTCCAGAAGCCTCTTGCAGACTGGAAGGCTCAGAATAGAAGGCAGGGTCTCACCTGAGCAGCAGCAGACCCTCTCTGTGTCTCCCTTCCTCTATGCCTATGGGACAACCAAGCCCCTGATTTCTGGGGAAGGGAGGGCTGGGCAGGTCTAAGGCTGAGCCTGCCTCGGTTGGCCTCGAGCCATGGCAGTGCTACCTCCTCACCCCATCCTCATCAGCTCTTTCTGTAGGAAGCTGTGAGCCCTGATGGCCCCAGTGCTGATAGGAGCCACATCTGGGGCTGAGACCCCACCTTCCTGGTCAAGGGAAGGGTGTTTATGAGTATTTCAGACCCGGGGAGCCTCCCTGCCTTCCTCCCTGCACTGCTCCTGTCTGCTGTCCTTATGCGTAGCTCTTGGGGACACTGAGCCACCCCTGCAGCTCAGCAGGTCACAAGCCACCCTATCCCTGCTCCAAAAGCTCCCTTCCCTCTGTCCTTGATGGAGACCTAGCTCACCCCTTGAGACAACTTTGGCCCTCTCCAAAGTTGGCTGTTCTGTCACTCACAGCCCCTGTGCCTCAGAGCCCATGGTGGAGTGGGTCGCTGGCTTCCTTGGTTACCCAGACAGTGCTCCCTGCCCCTCGAATGCAGCATTCCTCGAGGGTCCCGGGGTCCAGGTGTGCCCTTCCTCAGCTCCTCAGGGCTGCCATCTTTCCCTCACTTATAAACTCACGGCCCTGGCTCAGGGCCGCCTCTACCCCACCCCCAACTCCTGCCATTACACTGGTGACAGGACTCCCCAGGGACCACCCACCAATCCCCTGGCCTCTCAGCTCCCAGAGCTCCTCATGTGCAAACACTTCCTCTCCACTCCTCTCGGCCACGGTCCCCCACAGCAGTCCCGGGCTTCTCACCCCTTCCGAGGCACCGGCCATCCGCCTCCCTTTGGAACACCACCGCCTGCCTCTCGCCTCTCTGGCTCTCGCGCTGTGGCTGCACACATCAGCTGCTGTGACGGAGACCCCTCGCTGACCTTCCACCTCCTCCTCGTCCTTCAGGTCCCTCCTGCCTCCACAGCCCTCCTTGTCCAGCCTCTTTTCTGATGAATCCTGCCCTGAGTCACCCAGGTCTGCCTTGCCCACCTGAACCAAGCTGCTGAAAGCTGCCGGGGACAATCTCATGGCCCAGAACCCTGGGCTCACCCTCCTCGCTGCCCAACCACCCACCTCCCCTGTGGGTGGCTTGCTCTCTTTCCCCAGAGATTGTCCTCTGTGTGGCACATTCCTCGTTGTGTGCCCGCCCTCTGCTCCCTTCAGCCCCCTGACCGCCTGCACCTCAGCAGAGAAAAGGGGCCACAGGCTGGACTCGGAGAACCCACGACACCTCAGAGCCACCGGCTCCTGCTGCCACTTGCTCCCACTCCCTCCTGGGGCACTACCGGCTGCCCTCCTCTCCTCGGGCTTTCGCCTCTCATCTGGCCACTTCCTGTCACACTCTAGATATCCTAAGTCCCCTCCAGCTATTAAAACCGCCTCCCTGGCCCAACACACTTCTCCATTACCGCCTGCCTCTCTCTGCCCCGGTCCACAGACAAACTTCCCAAAGAGGCACGGTCCCTGTTTCCATCCTCACCTCCCTGTCGCACTTGCTTGCCACGAGCTGGCACCTGGCCCATTGCTCCACCCAAACTACGCGTGACTAGAGTCCCACTGACCCGCGTGTGGCTGTCCCCATCCAATGGATGCTTCTCATCCTCGTCGGGATTGGCCTGTCAGCAGCACAGGACAAAAATGACCGGCCACCCGCTCCTGCATGCAGCATCTCTTCCTCGTTCCAGGATGTCCTCCCGGTCCTTCTGTCTCTCCAACTGCTCCTTCACAGGCTTTCTTTCTGTTCTTTTCCCTCACCCTGACCTTTCAATGTTGGCATATGATTATTAATTGCAAAGGGAAAAACTAACTTTGCAGAGGAGAAGCCTGGCAGGCACCATCATAACCAAGCGATGCCAGTTAACGTCCACCAACGGCACAAGTAGATGTCGTGCACCTCCTGATGGGATGACTGAGAGGGACACAGCATCACTCCTGCCAGAGATGAGCAGCCTGAGTCTAATCATGATTAGACACAGACAAACTCGCATCAAGATTCACTCTCCAAAATAACTGGCCTGCACTTGCCAAAAATGGCAATGTCACGAAAGACAAAGAAACGCTGAAGAACTGAGCCAGATTAATAGAAACTCAAAAACACAGGACAGCTAAATGCAACGTGGAAGCCAGGATTTTCTTCTGTTGTAAAGGATATGGTTGGGGAAATTGGCAAAACCAGAAAACAAAGTCTGTGGCTTAGGTTCAAAGATTGTACCAATGTTAATTTCCTGATTTTGATCATTGCACTCTGGTTATGAAAGAGAAGGTCCTTGGTCTCAGGAAATACACTTTAGGGATTGAAAAAAAAAAAAAAACATTACATCTGCAACTTACTCTCAAATAATTCAGAAAAAAAATACGTATATACATAGAAAAGAATAAAAAATGTGGTAAAATATTAACATTTGGGAAACCTAGGTGAAGAGTACATGGGAAATATTTGTAATAGTCTTGCCATTTTTCTCTAAGACTGAAATTATGTCAAAATAAAAAGAGTAAAAAATGTTGGTGTCTCAGGGCTCAGTCCTGGGTCTTCCTGTCTTATACCACCCTCCTCTCCAGGGCTCGCTCATCTCTTGCTGCTCCAGTTCCATTATTGGTACCCCAACAATTCCCAGATATATATTCCTGTGGCCCAGATCTTCTTAGGAACCTCAGGCCCATGTGTGCACAGTATCACTTGGGTTTCTCACAAGCACCTCAAAATCAACATGCATGATATGGATTGAATTGTGTCCCCCAACTTTCATGTATTAGAAGCTTGATCCCCACTGTGTTAAGAGGGTGAGAAATCCTATTATGGTAATTGAAAGGTGTGGGGCCTTTAAGAGGTGATTAGATTGTGAGGACCACGCCCTAATGAATGGGTTAATAATGGTGGTCATGGGCATGGTTCTGAAGGCTTTAAAAGGAGGTCATGTGAGTCTCTCTCTGCTATTCTGTCATGTGAGACCCCTCTGTTACTGCCATGGAAGACCCTCACCAGATGAGTTACCTGGACTTTGGATTTTCTAGCCTCTGAAACTGTAAGTAATAAATTTCGTTGTCTTATAAATTACCCAGTTTCAGGTATTTATGTTAGAAACAACAGAAATGGACTATACAGTGCCCAAAGATTTTTCTCAATGCAGGACACTACCCCATCCAAGTGACCAAGCCAGAAACCTGGCTCGTCCTGAATATTGAAGGGCATTTTGGAGCCTGGCTGCCACAAGGGGTTTTGCATTACTAGGACAGCTAACCAATGGGGGCCAGTAAAGGCTGTAATCTCAGCTATATGTTCTTGAGTAGGGTGACGTGCCCACCAAAGCCCCACACAGGCTAAAGGCAGCCCTGCCAGCTTGCTCCAGCTGTCTTTTGGTTGCCAGTCTTGCCTCTCCTCCAAGCGACTCCTGGGAGTCGTGCAGGGAGCGGGACCCTGGCATAAACTACTACCATCATCATAACCACCAGGCACTGCCCTTCACAGTTTATAAAGCCCCAGCATCTCTGTTGGAGGCCATCAACCAAATACCATGGTGGTTCTACACTTTACAGATGAGGGAAAAGGTGCAAAAGAGGTGAAGTGACTT